GGGTTAAGGCGAGTTGCTCGCCTTGACCCACGTGATTTTTCCCATGGGCTCACATGCAGGCTGTAGTTGTGAGAGATATGTAGGGATGGGGAGGTCAGGGAAGTGGGGGGAGTCTGGGAGGGTGGTTCTGGGGTGTGATTGGGTGCCCTGACAGTGGGGTCAGGGGCCGATCCCTGACAGTAATGAAGCTACAGTGCCCCAAAAAACCATTGCAATGTTATGCACTTTTCACTTTATGAGCTTATTGCACCCTGGGAAGGGATCCTAAAATTGCATAAAAATATGAAAATAATGCGCTAGTAGCTTATTAATAATTCCACCAATTCTCTAATAAATATGTCCATTTTTGGTAAAGTTATTTACTTTACAAAGGACCCATGTCATTGCAACGGTTTTTTGGTGTGCATTTTGGAGAAAGGAAAATCACATTAACTAGTATTTAGTATGGCCACCTTTTTTCCTAAGTACTGCCTCAATCCTCCTAGGCATACTCTCGATTAAATTCTGGCAGACACTTGGTTCTATTCTCTCCCACTCCTCCTGAAACTGATCACACAGCTCATGAACACTACTTGGAGGTCCTTCATACTCCCCAAGCTTCCTCTTTACATGGTTCCATAAATGTTTGATTGGATTAAGGTCTGGGGACTGGGAGGGCCACTCCATGACCCTGATACCATGGTTATTGAACCAGTTCTGGGCCCTTTTGCTGGTGTGTTTTGGGTTGTTGTCCTGTTGGGAAAGGATGTGGGCTGGGTTTTTGTCATAATATGAGAGGGTTTGCTGGAAGTCCTCTTCCAGGATTTGGAAGTAGAGCTTGGCATCCATCTTCCTATCAATATTTCATGCCATTCCAACTCCATCCAATGTAATACATCCCCAAACCATGACAAAACCGCCATGAAACTTTCTTGTTCCTTGCACCAGCCTGTCTGTAAGAGGTTCATCCACCCATTTCCACACCCATTTCCTCCCATCTGAGCCCAGGCAATTCACCTTAGTCTCATCAGACCACACCACTCTCTTCCAATCCTCCAGAGTCCACTCTTTGTGGCTGATTGTGAAGTCCATTCTCTCCTTATGACATCTGCTGAGGAGCATGGGCTGCTTCTTCTTCACCACTGCTTTCCAACTAGCCTCCTTTAGTCGCAGACAAACAGCCTCAGTTGAGAGGCTGGTGCTGGTGACTTTTTGAAGAATTCAGGTGACTTGTGCAGCATTGTTGGCTTTACCAGAGTTGATAAGATGCATTGCATGACAGATATTGGTGTCTGAGAGCTTAGATGGGCAACCACCACTGGGCTTAGGAGTGTCAGGACAATGTTTAGACCAAATATGGGTAACAGTGGAATGGTGGACAGCAGTAATTGATAAGCACTGTGGCCAGAATCAATGAGAAAAAGCACTTGTTCAATTTTCAAAGCAGCCAATTGATGCATTTTAGAATTGGGGATTACACCTTGAAATCCATGTGTATTTATGCTCCAGCAATGTTTATTTGTTTACTAGTGTGTATAGTAAACAATATCACATGACCTATCACATGATATTTCCAGTGTTAGTCCATTCTGGCAGCACACCAAAAAACCATTGCAATGACATGGGTCCCTTGTGAATTGGATGACTTTACCAAAAATGAACATATTGCTTACATAATTGGTGGAGTTATGGACAGGATACTAACACATGTTTAGCATATTTATTTGAAATTTTAGAACCCTTTCCCATTGTTTAATAAGCTCTTGAAGTCAAAAGTGCAAAACATTGCAACAGTTTTTTGGGGCACTGTATATACATTCTTGAAGTCTTTCATGTTCTGTAGGGGTCCGGGTGGATCGGATAGGATCAGATTAGGATCAGAAATCCCAGATTGGGACAACCTCCCAATGGCCAATCTAGATCCGCCAGATGAAAATCCTGGATGATCCTGGATGATCCTGGATAATAACATCTTGTCACGACCCAGCATTCCCCAGGGTCAGACGACCTCCTCCCCGACCATCTCCCATGCCCAAACACTCCCCACACACTCCACCCGTCGCCCATCACCTTCTAACCACTTCCTGCCACCTCTCCATGACCCCTCTCCTAATTGTCATTGAATGACCTAGCAGCGCAGAGTGCCATGACCTTTTGTCCCATGTTTCGCCGCACCTTGTTATCTCACAGCGAAGGTCACGTTTGACCTTCGCTGTCTTAAACACGTGCTTCTTGTTTGTTTTCCTTCTTCTTTTCTCCACCCACAATCTCCACGAGATCTGGCGACTTATTCCCTATTCAGTTCCCTAGCACTTATATACAGCTTGTAACTAATGCTTGTACTGTAGTTTGAAATCAACTAGAACTTCTCCCTAAGCTTACATCTGTTCCCCATAAGACCTCCACCTTCTGAAGTATTGGGACCGCATCGAGAACGAGGCACAACGCTCCTCCCTGAGTCGTTGAAGCCGAAATCCCAGCCCACTCACCTAAGTAGCCTCGACCTCGAGATCAGTGAGGTTATTCCTCGATAAAGCTCAGTTGAGAGTAGGACACCTGTATCACTAGCGGCCAACATTCAGTCACCTACGGCTACCATCAGTGAAGCTTTGCATGGTTCTGACACATCTTAAGATTTCTTTGTATTTTAACATGTATTTACCTGAATTCCGATCATACAATAAATTTGGAAGCTATTCAAATGGGCTATTCATCAATGTAAAGTGTGTTGACACTGTGGGAAACAGTAGAGTATTAAAAATCGCAAAGGATGTGGTAGAATCGGTGTGAATTGCCAGACATTTTGGAGGGGGGTTAAGGGAGGCCGCCCATTCTAGAGCAGCAAGCACAGTGACCGCTTCATTGAAAAAGATGTTAAATGTTCGCTCTTGACCAACAATGGGATCAGCAATATAGGCTGTTTTATGGGTGGGGGAAAAGAAAGCCAAACCCATTGCGGACGCTATAGCCCATTTGAATAGCTTCCAAATTTATTGCATGATCGGAATTCAGGTAAATACTTGTTGTATAAAGGGACCCTGATGGCGCCCCTTTCTCCTCCCCCTATTGCCTGGTATCTCACGCTCCCTCGGTGAGTGAGATCCAACTTGCCACCTGTTTTTTCCAGGCTTACTCCTTTGACCCACTGCCGCTGCTGCTACCAATGCTCTGTTCTCCCTGAACTTGCTACTGCCAACACTTTTCATGATGTGACTTCACTCCCGTTTGCCTCAGCTTTCAGCCCTTGCCTTTTCTTGTCTCCCACCTCCTCCCCAACACTCCTCCTTTTGGTACATCTTTTTACATTGTCTTAGCTCTGTCCTGTATTTTGTTCTGATGTTTATCTTTTTACATTGTCTTTGTACATACAAAGAGGAAAAAGAAAACAGATGAAGGTTAATGGGAGTGACGATAAGAGTTAAGTCAGAAGCAGTGAAAGATAAAAAGCAAAATACAACACAGAGCTAATGTACAAAGACAATGTAAAAAGATGTACCAAAAGGAGGAGTGTTGGGGAGGAGGTGGGAGACAAGAAAAGGCAAGGGCTGAAAGCTGAGGCAAACGGGAGTGAAGTCACACCGTGAAAAGTGTTGGCAGTAGCAAGTTCAGGGAGAACAGAGCATCAGTAGCGGCAGTGGCAGTGGGTCAAAGGAGTAAGCCCGGAAAAAACAGGCAGCAAGTTGGATCTCACTCACCGAGGGAGCGCGAGATACCAGGTGATAGGGGGAGGAGAAAGGGGGGCCATCAGGGTCCCTTTATAAGCATGGCCAAAGCAAATGAGTGCTCTCCTCAATAGCGAAAGTTCAGTACGTACCTCCACTGAATGGTCTGCTTCGTGCATCTGCACCGAAACATCCAGCATACGTCTGAGGCAGCGTCCCCTGACCCATTCAGGCTAAGTTGCGCGAGAAATCACGAGAGATCACTGCAATCAGTGCTGGGAGGCATGTGAATGCCAAAATGGTCCCGACAGGGTGCAGCCAGGTTTCCCAGCTAGTGGCGAGTGGAAGTGGGAACCTGAGATCAGCTGATGGTAAGTTGCTATCCCATGATTAGTCTCATGAAATGGAGACATTAAACAACAAGTATTTACCTGAATTCCGATCATACAATAAATTTGGAAGCTATTCAAATGGGCTATTCATCAATGTAAAGTGTGTTGACACTGTGGGAAACAGTCCTGACACCCCTTTACACAGTGGTCAGCATGAGTACAGACATTGAGTTACCCCAAAAGACTCGTGTCCAAAAAAGTATTTTGCATTTTTCTCGATAATTTACTGGTCAATTTAATCCCAAATTGTATATTCTGGAAGCTATTCAAATGGGCTATCCATTGGTGTAAAGTGCGTTGACACCGTGGGAAACAGCCCTGACACCCCTCTGGACAGTGGCCAGCAATGTGCACGGACAATGAGTCAGGAGTTAAAATATCTCGGATGACTTTGCTACAATACAATAATTTCGGAGGGGGGCTGTTAGTTGCATGCTAGCAATGGGACTCCATCCCAGATCATCTGGGATCATCCCGGATGCCAATCCCGGATCAAGAATACATCCTGACCCCCAATTCTGGGATTGAAAATTCCGGATCATCCGGGATAATCCGATCCACCCGGAGCCCTAATGTTCTGGTACCATCCCCCAAACCACTATTCATCAAAGGGACCCTGTAACCTCCAGCCCTCTTCATTGCTTTGGATGATCTTGGACCTGGAGAGCCCACAAATGCACCCCATTGAAGCTGAAGTGACAGGAGAGTAACGAGACATGTTGTGGGAAATCATGGACACCACTGACAAGTAACAAACTACAGCAGCCTTCGTTCCCTCTTGCGCTTCGCTTGCTTCCACCACCACCAAGTGGCACACAACACCCCAATTGCTACCAGAACATTTAGACCGAGCACAACCCCAAACAAATAGAAATGTCCAACTGGTGCACCCAACGGGACATCCTTAGGACGATGGTTGTGGGGTGAATGAACATTCATGCTGAGGATACCTAGTTTAAACAGTGGTTCAATCGCTCATACTTAGGGAGGGAGACGCACCAATGACTACCTGCATGCCGTAATCCGCTGTCAGGAGAACACTAAGCTTCCAGAGTGTCGTATCTGCTCGATTCGTAGCCTGAGCAAGGCTCACTCGAAGTCCCAAGAGGTATGTTGGCTGAGAGTGGGTCAATACTCTTTCGTAATACACCAAAGACTGTTGCATTGTCAAGAGATGGTCTGCATATCAGTGGTCCATCAGCATGCACCAACGTTTGACTCATCAGTCAGTAAGCTCACCTTGGACGTCGTCTAAGTGCGCTCCTAATTCTGCGACAGCCTTGAGCCTTGTCCTCAGTATCCCAAGTGCCTCGATCTTCGGGGCAAGGAGCTTTATGAGGAACGTCACGGTCCGCCTAGTCTGAGACATCCTTGTGAGGGTCTTTGTTCTCGCCAACTTGACAGCACGCCCCTTTGGCCGACCAGTCATGTGTGCAGAAACAAGCCTCCGCCAAAGTTTCTGGATCCTGTGCACACAAGCGGTCCCAAAAGAGGCGACGTAACAGCTGACATGGCGAAACAGATATTTCATTATTGTGGACAAACGCCGCCATGCACGATCCCAAGCGGGATGAGGAGGTTGAGAAGTGGATGGTGTTGAAAGTGACTCCGTCCTTTTCTCGTTAAAATCAAAGACCTCAATCGCTTCGGGCTCAGCCTCACGAGGCGGAGTTGCAACTTGTTGTGTAACCTCGGCGGGTTGAAGTGCAGTTTTCCAGTCACGAAGCACTTGATCCTCATCTTGCACTCTGGCGACAAGCCTATCGACATTTTCCACCTCAGAGCCCATGCGCTTGATGACAGGAATGAAAGCATCAACAATGGAATCCATCAAGCCATGGGCGATAAGGTCTACAGAATTGGTTGCATCTCAGTAATGCTCAATCAAATGTAACCGGTACATGCACCTGATGTCATGATTGTGGTATCCATGTGTAAAATTTTATTTCTAACTCTATTGACATGTTCCGACAAATCCGAAAAATGGAACTGGCGAGATATCCATCGGTGAGAATGTCGGTTCATACGACTTGGTCTACTCACCGAACAAATCCCTTCTCTAAAGACGGTGATATAAGCATTTGTCACATTAGGAATATCCTCCTCGTATTGAGGTTGACCACCATCGCCTAATGGTTCACGATCCCTCTCAGCCAGATACTTATTTAAATCTAGGCAACGAATAACAACGAAATAATAACCCAAGCGAGGGAAAAACTCCACTTTTTCCCGTGGGTCTTGCTGCAAAATATCTTCTAATGTAAGTGGGTGCAGATGAAGCAGCTGCCGAATGGGAGGTCGTTACGAAGGTCGGAGTTCTTCACGTAAGTTAACGTACTGTGCCAAGCATACGCATATCTTCCCAAGTAGGAGATGCCACATCGAGCCACCATGCTTGCTGCCATGAATTAATCGAGTCGACTTCTGGTTGTAGATGTGGAGTGCTGCTGGAGCGATTCCCTGTGGCAGGTCTTCGAATGCCTCGATTCGGGTTCAAAAAGTTATCCGTCCCGATACCCGCACGAATGAGGGGCCTAGAATGGTGACGTTTCGACGAGGGCTTCTCAGCGTGACGTCCTTCGCTCTTCACCGCGGGCACTGGATCCGTTGACGCGGGCGACATTGACTTAGTTAGGGCCACGGTTACTGGGGGCACTGAGCTTCGTGAGCTGACCAGTGGCGACGTAGCTCCGCCCTCAGATGCCTTTTCTCCACATCCGTGGGAAGATTCGGCAGGAGACTGCACAATGGCTGCCGGCAGGGAATTTGCACGTGTAGGCTTGGCTCGATGGAGGCAAAATTTCGTTCTAAAGGACTTGTGCTGCTCACGGCGAAGGCTATTAGTATCACGGAGAGCCTGCTCGATACTGGACAATATAAGGGGTAGCGAGGTCGTTTCAATCAGCTGAGAAGCAGAGTCTTGCTGAGGCGCTAGATGGCTACCGGGAACTGAGGACAATATATCTTGAGACGGTACTCCGGGAGCCGTCGGTAGAAGCAGGCTGAATTCCCGCGGGATCCGTCGAACGTTCTCAAGGGCTTGGCGTGCGAGTGCGCGCTGTTCTGGATCGATGTTAACGGTAGAGGCGCCGGTACTGGAACGACGACGTCGTCTAGGAGGCCTCCGCGTGGTGGTTGAGAGTGTAGAAGAAGTGGTAGAGGATGAGCTAGATGTGGAGGCAGATGGTCGGGCCCAACGAGAGATTGCAAGCTCCACAACGGCAGCGATTGCTCTTGCCACTAATCCGGTGGACGCGGATGAAGAGGACGAATGCCCGCTCGAGGCTACGTTAGGCGAACGGACGCGTACCATCGCTTCTGGGAGTTGGGGGAGTGCGCCACGGTATATATCGCCTCCAGGGATTTCAGAAGGATTGTCCCGCTGAAGCGGCGTTGAGCCTGAGCGACGAGGGGCGAACCTGGATGTCGCTCCAACGGAAGGGCTGGGAAGGGACTGATTTGACTCCATCGAAATCGATTACGGCTCTGCAGGGATATGAGCTAGAATTGATCCTATGATTGAGAACGAGCTGATTAATGACCCTGCACGGCACTGGCACTAGGTTCGGGCGCAACGCACTTGCCATGCATTAGTGCACAGAGAACCGCAGATCCACCTAACGTAAAAGCCTTGATGAATAATAACAAATTTTCGGCCAGTTCGACACCGATAACTAGGCCTCGAGATGACAAATTGTGCGATCGAGATTGATCGAGAGCAATTTGTCATGTCACTTGATCGTGGGAAACATCTTTTGCGAGCAATGGCAGCTCGTTGGCTGAGCCAGTAATTATCGAAACACATATATGACATCTACTGTATCTAGTCCTCATCCAATAAATTCTGCTGCACCACGTTCGATACCGCCAGAGCTCTTTGATGTTATCGCTGCAAACTTTCACCAGGTCAACTTTGCGGTCAGGGACCACATCAAGAAAGAGCTCAATCTCAACTTGAAAAAGGCTAGTGCTGAAGTTTTGAGATATTGTGTCTTACCCCTGGTGACTGCCACTGGGAGGCACCGCAATTCAGTGTAAACCCACAGGAGCGGGAATTTGAGCTTGAACATGTAAATGCTAGGATGAAAGGTCGGTTGAGGTTCCGACCTTGGTGTTGACCTTTGCTGTCCTCAAGCTGTCTGGAATCTAGGCAGTATAGAGCTTTGATTAGACAGGGGAGGGGAAGAGTGAAACCTTCTTTCACCCTTCCCCGCACTATATACATGTTTATTTACATCGAGGAAATAAAGAGGAATAAACAAAGAATAAAGAAAGCGTGCACAGGATGCATCACCACCATCTGCTCCTTACATAGGAGCTGGCTGGAGCGCCACTCAATTCAAGATATGTGAACTGAGGGGGAAAGACAGACTCCTTCCCAGTCGCTCACGTGATTTCTCCGAGGTTTAGCCGCAACTTACATTGCCCTCCGAAATCTGTCGAGCGACTGGTACAACTTGCAACACATGATGTTCCCACGGTGTCCTCCCACGCTCGCCATGCCTTACTTCGATCTCGTTGTACACGCTGTATCCTCATGCCCGAATAACAGTAAAAAATGTACATAATTTCCTTTCAACATTCTCTCAGCGCACAAATACAATAATGTCCACACACTCCATTATGACAACTCTCATCGAGCAAATCCAGGCAACTCCGATCCGCACTGTAATGGGCTTCATTGAGGTCTTGCTCTCAAGCAGAAACTTGGCCCTTCAAGTATCAACTGGACCAATAAAATCAGAAGAGGGAACACGACGCATCCTCGATCTCCTGTTGGCACATGCATGCAGGGACGCAGTTATTGACTGGGCGGTTGAGCAAGCCTGTGAAAGGTTTAAGAGCGAGATCCTCCAGGTATCGAGGGGGGAATCAGGCTTACATTTCAATGCATCCTGAGCTCACGCTGCCGACATCCTTGATTTTGACTTGGAAGAGATTGCACAGAAACTTGAGGTCCTTGCACCACGCACTTGGAGTGTAGTTCAAGCTCTCCTGGATGCCAATCCCCTCGCGCGTCGACGAAAGGTTGTGACAAAGGCCTCGGCTTACGAAGATCGACATGATCTTGAAGAGCCACTCGGTGATGTGTCCAATGCAGAATGGAATGGGGGAAGTGAAGGGAGAATTGAAGACATGACGGACGATGAAGTAGGCGAGGATGAAGTGGGAGATGGAAAAAGGGCCAAGCATTCCGCAGAGGATCGAGGGCTCACTTTGCTACGAATTGTGAGTAGAAAAACTACATATAGTAACGAGACACATACCGTATTTCAGAAAGGGTGTGCCATTCTATCAATAATGGCAAACAGTACAAATTCCCGTTGTAACGCATTCCAGGCCGTCCAAGGGTTCTTCCTAGAGTCCGTCAATGCTCCCGAGCACGTCATTAATGTCCTAGCACATGGTGGTTGGAGTATCTCTGTCGTGTCAATAGTCAATATTGTGCGAGCTCTCACAAAAGAGCGGCAGGGGGAAATCAGGAAGCTCTCAAGGACTGGCCTTTGTGCACTGGCATATGACAACCTTGACTTTGACTTCAGCGTGAAGGAGCCGACTGTGGAGAATGCTGGTAGCTTTGCTAGTATAACAACAGGAACATTCATCCAGTTGACACCTGACACAATGTTGGATGACCTATGCTTTTCAAAGGAGCTATGGGAGAAGAGCCCCCTAAATCCCAGCGGACCCAAAGATTCCATGCCACCCGTTCCACCACCGTACGAATACATTGTTGCTCGCGTAAAAGAAGCCCTCCCTGGTGTCCGTTCGGCAATCCTCTGGTTCATAAAGAGTATACTGGTGGAGGACTACCTCCATCCTGAGTACCGGGACCTCCTTGGACCCATGCCGTCCTCGAAGTGGATTAGTGTCTCTAAATCGGTTCAGTATCCAGCGTGGGCAATGCACATAAAGGCCTCAGAAACAGATGGAAATGTCGAGATTGTTGAGAATATGGAATGCCAGCTTGGTACCCCTGACGAATGGTATGATACATACGTGCGCCTATGTCATGGTGATCTGGGGACTCAAGAGCGACACGACACGATGACATCATTCTGCTCCATTGAGCGAAATGGAAAATTGCGTTTGCAGTGGCTCATTCCAGTGCCCGGAGTCTTCCATATTCGGATGGCTGCAGTAGACGCTATATGGAGAATACACCTTAGGGGTCAGGACAGGTGTGAAAATGATACCTTCGAATTATTCAAAAAGCTCCGTCCGAAAGATGCCTCAAAGCTTGCAAGTAATCCAGGTTACCGTATGCTCAATGATGGAATCCAGCATCTAATCCGAGCTCACCTCACAGTCTACTGGGAGTTGACCACAGGATTTCAAGACCTATCGGAATTCGCTGGAACGGAACCATCCTGGGATGAAATCGAGCTATTGGCACATCGCATATTCAACGAGCACATCGCTGGGGGCGATTTTGAGGACATACGTGGAAGGCCCAACACCGAGCATGATCACAGAGGTGAAAACCGAATGTTGTTTAATCGAGATGCCTTGCTGTACACCCTTCTTGCCCAAGCCACAAATACTGGTGCCATTGGCCTCATGAAAGATCTTCTCTGGCATTGGGTTCCAATGTTCCTTGCATGCGGAAAACACAAATACGCCACTCACCTTTCCAAATTCCTACGTGATCTACATCTTGTATTTCCGTTGCGGCTTGCAAGCGCCATAGAAAACAACTGGCTATGTAACCCAACGGGATCTGAAAATGGATTTAGGGGGGTGGATTGGTGGGTGGAGCTAAATAATTTATACACGAAAGTAAGTCTTTATCGTTCAACCGGCAAGTGACTTACAGCGTGGCCCAAAAGGTGATATTCTGTGGGTCAGGCTCAAATAGGACCTTGACGCACATCATCAATCAGTCATCACTGATCGAGCTCTATCGATCAGTGCATGTCAATATCGCAGACAATTTTGCGGTCACACGGAGGTCAACTCGGCACACACGAGCTAATATGACCAACACCCTAAAAGATCTCCAAGAAGGTATCAGGGCACACGTTTGTCGTACTCACACACAATATTCTGCCATCGCCATGGGAGTGCCAAACATGTTAGTCGTTGGACTCACCGAACTCTTGCTGTCTAAAAACCAGCCGGAGGACAGTGCAGAGGAAGTAGAAATAAGTGCCCGTATTGAAGAGTGTGACTTTGACGCACTTTAGGACATTGTAATATCTATGTAGAGTGACGAAAAATAGGCGCTGAGCGCAGAAAGGGTGCTTCGGCATATTCCACATCCTATTCCCGACTCTAAAATGGTCAAGAACACCCGGCAGCGAGCCAAACCAACCACTGTGGAAGGGCTTCAGCATGAGTGCTCAGAGTATTTTGGGTGGCGGCCATGCCGGTGGCAGAGTGAGGTTGCATTCAATCTTGTTGGCCGAGCAAATCAAATTTCTATATCCTCCACTGGCTCGGGGAAGAGTCGCGTCTTTTGGTTGCCAATGATCTACGAGAGCGGGCTTACCATCATAGTCGTTCCTCTCAAAAGTCTTGGTCAGCAGCTTGCCGACGAGTCATCAAGGGAAGGGTTCCATGCCATCTCAGTCACCTCGGAACTTCTAGGGGAATCACCTGGTCTATTAGATGTATGGCAGCCCTTGCATTGCTCACCTTGATCTGACTTGAGGTATCCATAGGAAATCAGGAAATCCGCGTTCCGGACCGTAGTGCTGTCACCCGAAATTTCAGTGGACCCGCGTTTCATGAAAATATGGACTGACCCGAAATTTAAGCGTAAAATCGACTGTGTCATAGTGGACGAGGCCCATTGTGTTAGCCAATGGGGGAGGGACTTCCGCGTTTCATACCTTTGGCTATCACGCTTACGTACCGTGTTAGGGGATGAGATTCCATGGTACCTCACCTCAGCCACACTTCATGTGGCCACTGTTCGCGATGTACTGAACATAATCGGACTGCCAAAGGATACGTCAATCTATAGACGTTCCAATGATAGACCCAACATTCACCTGTGCATGTGTGCAATGAAATACACTATCGCATCGCGCTTTGGCCTCGCATTCTTGGTCCCCCCCAATGCAAAGCTGGATGATGCAGAGTGGGTTCGGCAGTACATCCCGCAATTCCTCGTTTACTGCAATTCACGTGCGGATACGGAGAAAGTGGCCAAGTTCTTGCGGAATCGCCTGCCTGCTGACGCGCGGGGCCGAATTGTCTGGTATCATTCAGGAATGTCCGAGCCGTTCAGAAGAGAAACGATTGAGGCCTTTGAGGCCGGTGAGATCTTGGGTATCTGCTGCACAGATGCCTGTGGAATGGTAAATAAGCCACATCCTGTGTTTAGAATTTACTTACGTGTTTGATAGGGCCTCGACCTGCACCGCGTCAAGATTGTCGTCCAGTACCGATTACCAAAGAAGATTGATGCCATGGTCCAACGGTTTGGGCGGGCAGGGCGTGATCAATCCATAGACGCCATTGCAATTCTCATGGTAGAGAAGGCCTACGTTAATAAGGGGCAACGTCAGTTATGGATGACCAAATTCAGCGACGTACTCACAAAGAAACGAGGGGCGGCTGAAAGCAACGCCACAGGCCCACAGAAACGCCGCATACTAGGTGAACAAGGCAATACATTGGGTTCTCCCGTTGATCCCTATGAACAGGCGATGAACGAGGAGCCGAGTGCTGAGGAACTATGGCTTTGGCAGCAGATAGAGACAGCCTCTTGCGCGAGGGCAGTGATTCCCCTCAATAACGCCACAGAGCCACCCATATTCAACACAGACCAAAATGAGGCTGGAGATAGAGGCGACGAGGACGACAACAGCCATATTGATGAGGAAGAAAATTGTGATCAGTCACACGCTCCTGATCCGGTGGTGCCCAACACAAAGAAAGGGAAACGTCAGAGGAAGAGGGGACCACAAACTAGTTCGTCCAATGACGAAATTGACTTTGAACTTGCCACATTCCTACATAATGAATTCCTTCCAGCCAGTGACCCTCGTGCTGGTTGTCGACGCAAGGCCCTCAATCACCTGTATGGTAACAATTTCCTAAGTAGGTCAATCAATTGAGTTCTCGAAGCCCACTCTCACGCGAACAACTTCCAGGGCGTGAACCATTCTGCTGTGCGCGCTGCGCCCCCCGGGAGATCACCTCTTGCTGTGATATCTGCGACCCCGAGCGAACTACAGGCATGGTAGTTACAGATACCCCGCCGAGGACCAAGCGTAGACCAAACAAGGCAAAGCTTGATGCGAGCCGTCCGCTCACGGTTCTCGACTCGATTTTGAAACTAAAACTCGAGACCTTTCGCAAAGAGCTGCACGCCGAGTACTGGGGAGACGTTGAAGACTCGCTCATTGGCCCCCACCTCTTCCTCACAAACACTCAAATCGTTCACCTCTGTCATCTCACACATGCGAACGCCTTGCAGAATATCGACGATCTCTGCAACAATTTCGAATGGAATTGGATGCCCCGCCATGGCGAAAGGCTGTTTCATCTCATACGGAGCATCTGCGAGCCCGGCTCCACCTCAAATGTCCCCGGGAATACCGTTGACTGCCCTGTCGACGCTTCACGGTGCACGCCATCAGTCAATGAGCCCGGTACCAGTGGCACTGCCATACCAAACCCAAAGAAGACAGCGAGGTCGAAGGCCAAGACGGGTCCTGGTAGCCAACGTTGCAGTGCATGCCATGCACTGGGCCATAACAGTGCGTCACATCATCGCTTTGGCATTCATTAATTCACAAAATGTTTTATAGAGTCAAGCCCGAAGTGTCCCCTGAAAGCTGTCCAGAGCCCAGCCAATGTCAACACCATTGCCCCAACCCCCTCCCAATAATCCCTCGTCCCCCCATCCCCTCTATTTCCTTGATTTGTGTTATTGTCAACCAAAAAGAATGCGACAATAACATTGTCTATACCCTTTACATTAATAATATCGTACCTTTTTCTAAACCCTTATCTTAAATTAGTAGTTCAGAAAAGTTTGGAACCTTTAGAGGAGTTATCGGGTCGGTCACCTCTCGTCATGGATCACTGAGTAACCCGAAATCAATGCATTTTGTATTTGTGCGCTGAGAGAATGTTGAAAGGAAATTATGTACATTTTTTACTGTTATTCGGGCATGAGGATACAGCGTGTACAACGAGATCGAAGTAAGGCATGGTGAGCGTGGGAGGACACTGTGGGAACATCACGTGTTGCAAGTTGTACCAGTTGCTCGACAGATTTCGGAGGGCAACGTAAGTTGCGGCTAAACCTCGGAGAAATCACGTGAGCGACTGGGAAGGAGTCTGGGGGAAAGAGTATTTTGAAATTATGAACTAGTCGCATATAAGCGCTCAGTTCCAAGTACATGAACTAATAAGATTGATAATCACCTAGTCGCGTATAAGCGCTAGGGTAGTATGTACAATCATCAGAAAGACATACAGGACACAAAGAGATAGATATCTCACCTCAGTTCCAAGTACGTGAACTGAGGAGAGAAGAGGGAAAAATTGCGCGAGGCGGCTTTTAAGCCATCCTCGACTGCGTCCATCAACATGGTCGCCATAAACGGTAGCATCGGGCAATCCTACAAGGAAATGTCCGTGCACAAGAAATATAGTCCGTTGTATTCAATGGTCGGTCCACAGCGTACCAAGAAACAAGAATTTCAACAAAGAGGACGAAAGGTGGCTTTCAACGTCGAGCACACATCTTCCCACCTCAACATTACCTTCCACTCAAGGATCATGATACCGATCCAGTGGCATCCACACATACTGCCCCCCTCAAATGGGACACAATAGAGATTTTATACACAAAAATTATTGGAATTATGAACTAGTCGCATATATATAAGCGCTCAGTTCCAAGTGCGTGAACTGAGGAAAGAAGAGAAAAAATTGCGCGAGGTGGCTTTTAAGCCATCCTCGACTGCGTCCATCAACATGGACTCCATAAACGGAACCATCGGGCAATCCTACAAGGAAATTTCCGTGCGCAAGAAACATAGTCCGACGGACTCAATGGTCGGTCCACAGCGTACCAAGAAAAAATTTCAACAAAAATAACTACCATATGATAAGACCAGGCGAACCTCAGCTAGGCCAAACCATTGTTATAGCTTCGCCTTTGGCTTTCTCAAGCTATTCATTTCGTCAATGACCCCCTCGGCCTCTCTCACCATCCTGTCCAACAATTCTTTGCACGTAGGTATATCCTTTATCAACCCAAGCGCGACGCTAGCACCCCAAATCCCCGCATCGACATCCCCCTCCGTGTAAACTCTCCTTCCACGTTCCCCTCTCACGAGCTCTCTCAGCTCTTCAAATTTAGCTCCACCAGGTCGTCGTTCCAGCCGTACAACTTCTTTGGCAACATTATTCTTATAAACGCGTGAAGTGTTGTTGAGAGTGCGGAAAATGTGAATTGTATCTTGTTCGGTGGACTTGACCATTATTTCTTTGATGTTTTGGTGAATAGGTGCTTCAACGGTTGCCATGAAGCGGGTGCCCATGTTGATACCTGTGTCATTCCCCCGAGTGCCAAGGTTAGTTGAGGATTGGGCACTCTCCTCATTTGCTTACCATCTGCGCCTAGGGAAAGAGCCGCTGCTAAGCCCCGTCCGTCTCCGAACCCACCGGACGCAATATAGGGAACATCCAACTCTTGAGCTGCACGAGCAAGCTTTTTTGTAACAACATATTCGGCCCCGTCAACGAACTGTCGACTCACACTTCTGGAGAAAGGTAGGCTCACCAATAGAACTCCTCCAATATCCTCCTCTCCTGGATGTCCCGCACCTGGATACAGGATCCTCGCATGATGATTCAATTAAAAATACGATTTTTTTTGGTGAACTCACATTCAAAGCCGTCAATGGACAAAATGTCCACGCCCATCTTGATGGCGGACTTGGCGTGTCGGATAGTGGTGCACTTGTGCAATACGATCGCTCCATGTTGTTTGAGATATTTGACCATCGGTGCCGGATTATTCCCGGCCGTTTCAAATATCTTTACGCCTAGAGACCGCGGTAAAAACCAAAAAAGACATTCTGAAATTGAGGGAGAATATTCACTGACCTTCTTCAATGGCGGCTCGTGCAAATGCACCGTAATCGGGGGGATTGATAGCGGGGAGAATAGTGATGTTGACACCGAAGGGTTTATCCGTGAGTCTACGCGTTTCCTTGATCGCTTCGCGAAGAGCTTCGGAGTTTGGTTGGGTGACTGGTCAGTAGCAAAATTTTAAGATCACGGATGGCGTAAATTTGCGAGGGTGATGGTAATTCGGATAGGTGGGCGCGCGAATTGCGAAGGCGACGGTAATTCAGATAAAAGTTAATGGAACGTAAATAAATAAGGGGCTCTCTACAGAGTCTTTTGTGTGACGGCGACGTACGCGCAGTAAGGAGACCTAGCCCTCCGGCATTGGACACCGCAGCGGCCATCTGTGGTAACCCAACCTTTTCAGGATGCATCAGATATGGTATTGTAACTTGAACGAGTGTACTTTCAAACTCACCCATTGCATGCCTCCCTGAACAACGGGCCTAACACCACCTGAAAACTCAACCGACGCGTTCTTGAAGACAAGCTAGTGTTGCACTCACACAGAAATGCCAAGGATATCGGTCAGTCTCGTGTGTAATACCATGCTGTAGACGCTCTAGTCTATGCCAGGGGAAGTTAAGGGACAGTGGGAAAGAGATTTGGCCATCTTATATGTACATAGTTCTTGCAGGGCAAGCGGGTATCACCTCGGGAACTCGGACAACTCTCAACCGTGATCCCGTGACACGTGGTTCAACTTTCATCTGAAAACTGTGTGGCGCTTCAGCTGGCTCAGGTGGAGAACTCGCAGATTGCGTGCAGCATACCCGTCCGTGCTGCAACCACGTCAATCATTGATAGGTTCGGAGGGAATGTACAGTTTGCATGGCCCCCATTCTCAGTGGAAACACCGGATGGGGAAGTCATAGAGAGGCGTGGCGGTCGTCACCCATCAAGAAACTCGGTTCGGTCCTCCTAGTTCCCGGCACATTGCAATGCTTGGCTAGAGCTCCACCATGCGTTTTGCATGTTGGGATAAATGCAGGATATCATGCTCAAAACTGAGATCCCACAGGTACGTGCCACACAGTACTGTTATGCCATTTTTCATGACGGCTCCTCATTACGCAGCTCCTCGCCTCCGGGAGGCAACATGACGTCGGCACTTACGCTTTACATATTTACATAGTCATTACTTTAATATAGCCAACTAGTTCTCATTCCGAGACTGAGTCATTAATATAACAAGATCCTACTTGGCACCTGCCCGGGTATATCAAATTAAGGGCTGCTTTATATGCCAATTTTGGAATATGAAGAATTAATTCAAGTCCCTCCTGCCCTTCTTCGGCTTCGACTTCCACCGAAGGATCTTATTAGGTTTACTGGGGCAGAGATCAACTAATGTTGGTTGAATTATGCATTTCCTAGTATAATAGACGCACTTCATAGCGTAGTTACACTATTACAAGGAGCATATAACGTTGGCTGGTAGCACAAAGCTGGCGCTGGTTCGAACCGTTCCATGGCTAGGCTAAACTAAGAGAGTGGGAGAACCAATTTGACCCGAGCGGTTCTAGTTTGACGTTGTCGCTGCAATGCAAACCACTTCTGGTTCTGATTCTCAAATAACCGTTCCAGAACCGAACCGTGGAGCGCGCTATCCACAAGAGGCTGCTTCAGCCTACCCTCTCCAGGCCGGACCCTTAAGCCTCCGCGAAACCGCGAAACGGCTGTTCGCCGGGGCCATACTGGAGGGGAAAACTGAAGTGAGCCCTTTTTCCGTTTCCCGTTACTTGATTCGTGTGATGCACGATCGTTAATTACTCCATGGAGCAAAACGCTTGAAGCCATGACACTCCAATTTGGGTTTAAAGTGATATATCAGATCACGCTTCAACCGTATCGTATCTCTTGCTTGCAGGGAGAGATGATTGCTGTACTATGTTCACTTTGAACATAGTTGGGGGACACGGTACCGATTCGAGAAGTTCTTCTTCATTCGGTTTTCAGTGGCGGATCAACTTCAGTGATCATTCATTCAAATCTTCTGATCTCTCTAGCGGGTGAAAGGAATCAGGTAACACGATTGTCCTGGACGTTGATTCTCCGTCTCCACCTCCTTCATACAGCCCCGTTGCTATTTGAGACAGCCGTCAGCCATTCTCTGACGGAGCAATGCCACTATCCACCACCTCCCTGCCTCCTCCGCCACTAATCCATGGAAAGAACTCCAAGACTTTCTCTTCTCCACCTATGGATGGTTCACTCACCGTACCCCAATTGATTGACTGGCACGCTGAACACAGCCCTCACCACCCTCTCTTCGTCTTCGATGATGGCCCCGACAAAGTTTGGGTAACTTGGTCTAAAACCCGTATCGCCATCGAAAGAGCGGCGCGTATCGTTCGTGCCCTAAATGTCCCTAGGCATGGCACTGCTAGCAAGAATATTGCTATCCTCGCAGTGACGGACACCGTCTCTTATTTCACGTTGTTCCACGGTATCATGCGTGCAGGGTATGTACCCTTTGCACTTAGCCCTCGCAATTCCCCTTCTGCGATCGCTCATCTACTCACTAACACTGGCACGACCCATGTGTTTGTGAGTGGCGACCCGAACATGCAGGCTCTTTGGGCAGCATCCAAAAAGGCCCTTCCGGGAGGCGGGCAGCCTACGTGTGCCGCGGTTTCGGCGCCTTTTTATGATATCCTTTACGAAGAGAAACCGGAAGGGCATTTAATTTCCGCACCCGGTGCCGAGCTTAATACCACCGGAATGTTGTTACATTCATCAGGTATGCATTCATGTCTCGCTCCGCGACCTGCTACGGGCTGACGCATTCGATCCTCAATCCTACGATTTTTTGAAGGTTCTACCGCTTTCCCCAAGCCTATTGCGATCCTCCACCGTTCGACATCTTATGGTGAATTTGACCTGTGCTCCAACGTCATTGGGGCCGCCACTCTACCAATGTTTCACGCTCTCGGCGCGACGAACTCCATCCAAATGATTGGATGCGGCGGAATTTTGCTAGTGTTCAAACCTAAACAGACACCCTCCTTCCCTTCACCCGAGAAGGCAATCGACAGCATTGTAAATACCCCGGCGGACATTTTGTTCACCATTCCGAGCTTTTTGGTGGTGTGGAGTCTGAAAAGGAGTGGATTGAGTTGTTGAAACGAGCGAGGATTGTGGTATGTATAAATTCTTCATCTCTGTCGAGCCAGGTTAAAGCTCTCGATTGCCCTTGGCATCTTCGTTGACGCAATAGACTTACTCCGGTGGTCCACTCAGCAAAGTCGTAGGGGATAGCCTTGCCGCTTCAGGCGTCCCCATCTACCCTTCCTACGGAACGTGCGATTGTTTCCTACTCTGTTTAACCCGTTTGTCATAGCCCGGCGTTTCGTCCCTGGAACTAATTATTTCTTGGTTTCCTATTCTAGTACCGAAACCGGGGGGGTGAACACGTACATGCCTGCAAAAGTTGATCCTGAAGCATGGGAGTACTGGCGTTTCTCGAGGCACGTCCATGCTTCCTTAAACCCACAAGGGGAAGAGGGCAGTGATACCGTAGAGTTCAGAGCTCTTGTCAGTGGACATTTTCTTGTCCCCCTGTTCGAAGAGCTGACGAGTTGTTGATGTTTAGCGTGGCGCGACGCACACGCCCTCTAGGATAAACTCTGAATTCGATGGAGAGATGGGCCTTTCGACGAACGATTTGTTGTTGGAACATCCAACGAAAAAGGGGTACTACACCGTCTACGGACGTGCAGATGATCAGCTCATGCTGAGCACTGGGGAGAAGGCAACTCGTCGCGTCCCGTTCCTCCATCTGACGTCTTTGGAAATTGCGTTTGGATGCGTGTAGACGAATCCTGGTCCGCTAGAGGCTGTCATCTCCGGAGACTCGCTTGTTCAAGGCTCAGTGATGTTTGGTCGCGGGAAACCACACGACGGAATTATCATCACTCCTGCCCCACACCTCTCCCTCGATATTAACGATAAAGAGAAAGTGGCTGCATATGTAGATGCAATTTGGTGAGCTGCAGCGTCCCTAATAATTGCTATATCTACTGTTACCCTTCATATTTCTAGGCCTTCAGTCCAACTGGCAAATGAACACGCACCATCGCATTCGAGATTATTCAGGGAGGTACGAAATGAACAGCTTCTAGATCAATTTTTTTTATGTGATATTTGTCACATTCTAGATGATCATTCTTGCCAAACCTGAAAAACCTTTCACGGTCACCGGAAAGGGGTCTATTCACAAATCCGCCGTTATTAAAGATTATGAAGAAGAGATCGAAGCAGTTTACAAAGTTGTCGAGCAAGGAGCTTCTTCGGAGGCCCGGGTCAAGCCTCCGACCGAATGGACCAAAGAAAGCATGCATACATTCGTGCGAGATGTCATCACCAGCGTAATGGGGAGCAAGATTGGAGACAACGAAGATATGTTTCAGAATGGAAGCGACTCTCTTCAGGCGACGTTTATGCGGAATTGTATCGTGACGGCTCTTCGTGACACGAAAGCACAGAACATTAAAGGGGAGCTCATCGACACTTCGTTATTTTCTTCCAGTTTGATCTATCAAGCACCTACGATTAACTTACTCGCTGAAGTTCTCTATGGGCTTTTCGATCCTTCGTCAGTTTCAACGGCTGACCTTGCCGAGAACAAGATCGCGGAGCTCCGAGCGTTCGTTGATCGATACACTTTGGATCTGCCCATTCACAAACCAACGGACCCGGCTCCGGGTCAGGGTAGCGAGGTGATCGTCGTCACCGGAACGACGGGTGCGTTGGGCACTGCGATACTGGCGCAGTTGGCGAGTATATCGACGGTCGCGAAGGTTTATGGGTTGAACCGGGTCAATTCGAAAAAGGGGGAAGACGCTTCGAAAGAGGCAGGAGGAGAGTTTAATTGAGAGAGGGTATGATCCGAGGGCGGTGCTGGGGTCGGGCAGGGTAGAGCTTTACGAGATCAACCCAACTGCTCGGGATCTTGGGTTGGACAGTTATACATATGAGATTATTCGGCATACTACGACCACCATTATTCATACAGGTGGGCTGTGGTCCGATTTTAATATGTTAACCCCGTCTTACTGACTTGTTCCCTTCTCAGCCTGGAGTGTGGATTTCAATCTTGCCGTTTCTTCGTTCGAGCCTCTCTTTCAAGGTCTTCGAAACCTCGTTGACCTCTCTCTCTCATCCTGTCTTCCGACACCTTCAAAGATCCTCTTTGCGTCCTCCGTCTCTGTGCTTGGCACGCTCACTTCTGACGCTCCCGCCGCGGAAGTACACGTCGATGACCCTCGCACCGTATTGAACGCCGGTGGTTATGGGGAGTCCAAATGGGTTGCAGAACAGATCCTTGCTCGTGTAGCGCAGAAGACACCGCTCAAACCGGTCGTCGTGCGCGTTGGACAGCTTAGCGGGGGGAAGAATGGCTCGTGGAATACGTCGGAGTGGATCCCCGCTATTGTCAAATCGGGTGAAGTCGTGAAAGCTCTTCCTGCCGTTAATGATGTGAGTCATTTCCGCCGTTGTCGAGGAGCGCTATGGACCCTGACGGTCCGACGTCGGGATTGAAATAACATTAATAGACAGTATCGTGGCTCCCGATGAGCGCTGCTGCTTCGGCTTTCATCGATTTCCGCAACACTACGAGCGGTCTAGTTCATCTTTCGCATCCTTTCCCTACAACTTGGACTGAGATCTTCTCCCCTATCGCCAATGCTCTTCGCGTGCCCCTCGTTCCTTATTCCCAGTGGCTTGAACTTCTTGAGAACGATCTTGCCGATCCGTCGCGCTCCGAAGTTGAAGCTGCGACTGCCAACCCGGCGCTACGTCTTATCGGTATGTTCCGTCCTTTCAAGGATGGTATGCCCGTCACCAAGGCACGGGAGGCTATGGGCGTACCTGTACTTTCTAACGTTAAAGCTGTGAAGGATAGCCCTGCGCTTCGGCGGGAGAACTTGAGGAATCTTGGTAAGGAGGATGCTTTGGGTTGGTTGAGGTATTGGAGGGAGAAGGGATTCGTTACGAGTGAATTGCACTTTGAGGAGGATGGTGCACCACGAGTGGCAGAGAAAGTGCCCATCCATTTAGCAACTGAGCAGGTAACGCCAATAGCCGAGTGTAGCCTCCATGGATAGCGGTTGGGTAGTTATGGGCGGCTACTTACTGGTTTGTTTGACCCTTCCATCATCATGACAATTTTGATGTCAACCTTCGGCATAGACATTCCTCTGCAGAACATTTAAAATCCATCCTAATCATGTGGACAACGATCCTTAGATACTCCATTCCTTTACTATAATAGTATCCACTGTCCTTTGGCAAGGTTGTACACACTACTTATTTGAGAGTTATTTACTCATCGTTGGGAGTACTTCAAATGGTTCATCGTTTTATATATTATTACGAAGTCATAGAGGCTGGAGTCCTGCCTATCATCGTTTGCGTATGAGACTAATGAACTGGTGCTTGTACCAACAACTCAATTGGAAATTACGCCTCGGAGCGGCGTCCTCGCGTCGCCACATTGCTAGGCAGGACTCCAGCCACTCTATACGACTCCGACTTCGTAATATTAGATAGAGGCTTTGCGTGCTCAGCCTTGCCCTTGTAACACTCCCGCGGATATATTTATATTAAATCAAGCCCTCATATGATTGTGGGAGCGGCCCGATCGATTTAGCCAATACAGGCAACAACCTCCTCGTTCCATCGTTGCTTTCAAACTCTTGCTTTCCTCACCTCGCATCATTCGAGATATTGTTCGTCCCGAGTATCTGATTTAATCATGGCATATCAGCAACCCCCGCAACCCCCTCAACCACCACAACAACAATACTCTTCTCAACCTCCTTCGAGTCCGCCTCGTGGTTATGCGTCCCAACAGCCGGGTCCTGGTTTAGTTCATCAGCAGACTCCGGCGCCGACTCAACGACTGGCGGGTAGCTCTATGTACAGATCCACACCGCTCAGTGGGCCGCCTCCTGGGCATGATATGGTTCGTTGTCGTTTTTGCCTCAACGGGCGCTTATAGGTTTTTATGCCCCTCACGTCGCCCTGTTGCTTCTCTTTTTTCCAACCTGGCATCGCTTTGAACATACACGGGAATGAACTGATTCCGATCATCATACATGTCGAAATCGATTTGACAACAACAACAACAACGACAAAAATGGAAAGGTTTCAGCCGATCAATATCGGTACGCGTTGACCAACTTCCGTATTGCGCACGAGCAAGTCGAGAAGCAGAGACAACAGTTAGAAGAACAGGAGAGACAGGTTGCTTTGCTTAGACAACGGATCGCTGTGTTGGAAGGCGGAGATGAACAGGGGCTGACGAAGATGAATGCGCGTGCTGGGAAGTCGAGTGTGGATGATTTCTCGATTAGGGTGCGTGATTTTCCTCTTCACTTATCCTCACTGATATTTCATCTTTCGTGTTTTCCTCGATATCGTCATTTCCCCGATTGCTGAATTGATCTGTGAATTTTGCACAGAACGAAGCTTCCAAGTTGGAACGGTTGATTAACCGATGGGCTGCGGATGTCGTCCGTAACCCTCCAGGGAGTCTAGGAGACATATATAATGCCTCTCAGTCTGATATGGGAGGGTATGAGATCGAGAATCCGACGCCGGCATTGGTACAGAACATCCTGCGGCACGCTCTATCCGAAATAATATCTGAGGTAAGGCCTCAACCCTTGAGCGATTGGGGGTCTTTATTGACGTGCTGGCATGAAAGGGCATCATTAATTGTTTGATTGTCACTAATTCGCCTGAAGCCAACATCCAGTTGTCTCGTATCCATGATCATATCTTCCAGCGTAAGTTGTGCTGAAAATCCCTTATACTTCTCCACCGATGTAATTCGTGCATCTGTACTCTCGCATCATTAGGCGATCCCACTGTGGCCAGCGTTTGGAGACGGCAGACCTTCTCCGCCGCCGTTGAAGCCTTCACGACCGAAATGTCGGATTACATCCTCAACGAGCAAATCCCAACTCTAACAGAACTCATCTTCTCCCCTTCCGCACCACCTCAGACAGCGGTGCTTGCCGCAGGATTACGAAATATTCTGAACACTGGATATGAATTCTCTAGGACGCTGCATGCGAGTAAGACTAGCTCTGCTGGATCGACGGGAGGGGCAGATGCATTTTATCGAGCGTTCGTGCCTGATCTTGGAAGTGTGTTGTATCCGACCAGGATCGAGTTGTTGAAGAGATGCAGAAAGCATGAGATGGGCGAAGTGGATCGGGTCGGAGCTTGTGTCTTCCCAGTACGTTGCATTCGGCGTTCAGACCAATGTTGCCGCGCGGCGGACTGAATCTTGCAAACTCTTTGCTGTATCTAGGGTCTCGTGAAGGTCGCACGAGGGGTCAACGGTAGTGCCTCTGATGATACAGACGGTGGACAGTCGGTCATTCGCCGTGCCCAAGTTGTTTGCGAGTGTGCGTTGGGACTTGGTGATGTGGTGGTTGCAGCAAACCCAGGCGCGGCAGCTGCTCTAGAAGCTAATTTTGAGCAACTTAGAGTTTAAGGTGGCGTGTTGAACGTATTTCCTCAGACCGCTCAGCTGTTGGGAAGCTTCTCGTTTTTGGATTGGGTCTAACTTTATTCTCATGTGGATGTCATGTTTACGGGCTGATTCGATGCATACAAATCTGTTGTTTCTTGCCTGCCTTGTCCATGAGTTACCCGCCCAGCTTCCCCGTTCAGGCCACGGCAAACCCCTAAAATGCACTCTTGCACCGCAATTCCTATTTTTGAGCTTCTGAGATCCTGGTAGTTGTGCACTGGGCAAGCAGGTTTACAAGTGTGGCTGTTGAGGGTGCGGACAAACAGGCTGGTGACCTGTATGGAAAAAGGTACCAGATTTTGTGTGACTTGCAAGTTGTCAGGGCACGCCCCACGTGAAGCCCGGTGCACCACCCACTCAGAGACATTGACCAAAATGACCGGTACAACAGAGAAAGTGGCAACATGCACTGACCTACACAGAAGTGAAGATCATGGTTCGGGTGTTTGGGAGGGGATGACATAGAGATCAATGAGTAATGTGTTTTAGGATGAGCTTGGTGCATTGGGGCAGTTCCACAGCCTTCCCCAGATGCTGGATGGATTGGCATGTCGCTTAGACGCATTCTGAGCAGATGGCACTACATTGTTGGGCAATGGGCATGCCGAGAGGGAGAGAAAGGCTAAGTCCAAATCTGGCAGAAAACAAAAACAAATAATCGTCATAAACACGCTCCCCACATCGACCACAACTATCATGCCTGAAACTGTTCTTTTAGGCATCTTGACTACTTGTGACATGATGCCACACCCGTGCCGACTTATTTCAAGACAATGATGCCATACATCGAAGCCATAGACTTGGCTGCAATCTGCGCAGTCATCCAAACTGGTACCACAGATCCTTGATGGGTGATAATTGATTGGACCTTTTCACCATCTTTACAGATGGCTCGCTAACTGCAGATGCAGTTCAGCAAGTTGACCGACCTTTGACAAGGAGCAACTTGTTCAGCTCTGCAGATGCGCGCTTAGGTGGAATCAATTATTTCCGTACATCTGAGAGCTTGGCACAGGTGTAGATACTGAATGCAAATCATATTTGGCTCTAGTGCTCATGGTATGATGTGTCTGAGTCTGTGTAAGACGAAATCTTGCTCTAGTCAGCATCTGGCACCCTCCATGAAATGACGTGATTAAAATCCCGCTCCTTTCAGCCACTGCCAAGCCAGATGTGAAATGACACGATAACTGAGAAAATCCTATTCACAAAAATCCTACAGTAGAGGAGGATTTTTCGTGAACTGCTCTGTTATGTGACAAAATGCCGGAATTGTGATCATGAGAAAGGTCATCACATCACGGGAGAGAACCCCCGGTCTGCATTTTTGAGGGAATCTGTCAATTTCCAAGTGAATGGGGTATCAATATGTTTGTCAGAAATCAGCTTTCAAATTTCGGATTGTAATACAATCTCAACTGTATTGAAAAATAAAAAATCCCCGAAATTTGATCATTTTCGAGCTGATTTCTGACAAACATATTGATACCCCATTCACTTGGAAATTGACAGATTCCCTCAAAAACGCAGTATATAATGCCTCATGCTTGCTGCCATGTACAATTGCTCCTTCCTCCCCCCTTTCCTTTGACTCTTCACCCGATATATCTTAGAGACTGGAGCGGTTGCAACATTGCAACATGGTACTACATACGAGATTGACCGAGATGCTTGGCATTTCTGTGTGAGTGCAATCGTAGTTTGTCTTTCAAAATGCGTCGGCTAAAGTTTGATGCGGCGTTAGACCTGTCGTTCAAGGGGGCATGCAGTGGGTATGTTTAGGGTCGCACTTGCGTTGCAATACTATATCTAACGCATGAAAAGGTTGGGGTACCACAGATGGTTGCTGCGGTATCGAATGCTGGAGGGTTGGGGATCCTCACTGCATGTACGTATCCCTTACCATATCCACGCGAAGTTCGATTTTTCGTCCGGCCCCTGTCTGTCACATCCGCATTTACCTGAGCTAACAACATCCACGTTGTACCTGATCATAATAAATAAAATTGTGCTCGCGTCGTTACAGTTTCCCAGCCAAACCCCGAAGCCCTTCGTGAAACGATCAAAGAAACACGTAGACTTACGGATAAACCCTTCGGTGTCAACATTACCTTTCTCCCCGCCATCAATCCTCCTGATTATGGTGCGTTTGTACGCGCCGCAATTGAGGAAGGTTAGTGAACGTTCTTCGCTCCTAAGAGCTCAATTCTGATAGTGTTCCTCTTACTATGGTTTTAGATGTAAGGATATTTGAAACCGCTGGTAACAATCCGGGGCCGGTGATCGAATATCTCAAACAAAATGCAGCGATCGTGTTGCACAAGTGCACCACTATCCGACATGCCAAGTCCGCCATTAAGATGGGCGTGGATGTTTTGTCCATTGACGGGTTTGAATGTGAGTTGTTTGACGGGGTTTTTTGTACCCTTTGACCGATCATGATGCGAATTTCTTGGGGGTCCCCATCCAGGTGCAGGACATCCTGGAGAAGAGGACATCGGGGGCGTCGTATTGGTAAACCTTTCTGTCGTGGACTGACGGATTACTGACAAGGCTGCACATGCTATCATAAAAGCTTGCCCGTGCAGCTCAAGAGTTGAATGTTCCCTACATCGCGTCAGGCGGGTTTGCAGATGGACGGGGTTTAGCAGCGGCTCTCGCCTTAGGCGCAGACGGTAAGCAATTGTGGAGCACTCAATTTCTAAGTTTATTTAATCTTGGCACTTGTGAATGGAACAGGTGTCAACCTGGGCACCCGTTTCTTAGCAACCGTTGAGGCACCCATTCACCAGAACATCAAAGAAGTGCTGGTCAAGTCCACCGAACGAGATACAATTCACATCTTCCGCACTCTCGGTAATACTGCACGCGTTTATAAGAATGCTGTTGCCAAAGAGGTTGTGCGGCTGGAACGACGACCTGGCGGAGCCAATTTTGAGGATCTAAGAGAGCTCGTTAAAGGTGAACGTGGAAGGAAGGTTTACACGGAGGGAGATGTTGATGCAGGGATTTGGACTGCTGGCATAGCAGTTGGGTTGATAAACGACATACCTCCGTGTAAAGAACTATTGGACAGGATGGTAAGAGAGGCCGAAGAGATCATTGGCAAGATGGATAGCTTGAGGAAGCCCAAGGCAAAGCTGTAGACAATGGTGTTGGAAGCTTGTCATTTGCTGAGGATATTCTGCCTGCTGTTAATCTTCTACTTTCATGCTTTTCCATGTTCTGTTGTGCTACAGGTAGTAATGGGGAATGCTTGTATAAGGTCTTGATATGTGTCATTCGGAGGGTGGTACTGTATGGTATCATGATTACTGAGTGGGAGGTAGTGTCGAGACGGATGGTTCAAGGGTGTTGCGTTCTTCGGGAGGGAAAAAGATGTGCCACAGCTCTGGTCCATCGCGGATTACTGCCTAAAGATGTGTTTCTCAGGGATATGATTAGCGGGAGCCGAACCGAAGCATAGACGTACAATTGCTGCTTCCACAGCAATGAGAGCGATGATGATAAGTTCCATCCGATGCGTCGAGGACTGGCACGGATGAGCTGGATTAGTACAGAGTAAGGGATTCTCGGAAGAGAAAAAGACGGAGCACCTCGGTGAGTAATTCACGCAAGGTCACTTGGACCTGGAGAAAATCATAAGGTAAAGGACGATGAAATGAATTGGGAGATGTTTACCTCGGCCGCATATGTAATCTTCTGGTTTAGAGCATTTACGCGTTCGTGAATATCTAACGCCTTACTCATGGAATTGAAATACTCTGACCATCTTTCAGCCATTAATACAGATCGAAATATTAAAATCTGCCGACCTTCGAGCACGGGTTCTGCCCAATAAAAATCTGGGGTATCACCGAAATTCTGTCGGCTTAAATTCAGACCTTGTCTGAACTTCAACAGTTCACCCAATTTCCGAATGATTTCCTTGCGCTTTAAACCGGGAACACCAGTTTCGGATAAAGTCTGGGGAAGTCGCTCGACAGATGAGATGAAAGCATCCAGACGTGACTCGAACGCTGCTAGTGCTGTCGATCGTGCAAGTGCTTGAGAAAAAGCGTAGCGTGCTGGGAAGGTGCGAGTTGGATACGAAGATTCTGCGGTGGAATCCGGATGGGACGGTATTTCGGATAGACCAGCATATGGCGGGACTTGTCCAAGTATAATGAGATCGCCTTGTAATCGTGTTCGCCTAAGGGATGGTAGCACCTTAGTGCTGGGACAGCACTTAGGGATGGATCACAGCCAACAACTCACTCTGCGGGGTCGGTAACAAATTCTAGTTCTTCGGTCTCAAACTCACGCAGCGGCAAGATAATAGCATGAGGTGTCCGAAGGGTAATATGTTGTGCGAAAGTACGTGCAGATTCCTCGTCCAGTCCCCAGCAGACGATTGCGCCATTACCAAAAATCCAAACTTCACCTTGAGAGCCGCCAGGTTCATTTGTAGGCACCCATATGGCGTCCTCAAACCGTTTGGCAGATGGTGTCAGTGCTTTAAACAACTCTCCGAGGTTAAACCTCTCGGCAGTTGCGAAGGCAAGAACTGGGTGAATGCACCCTCTCGTTGGGTTTGGATTCTCTCGTATGGGCAGTGATGCGGAGGCAGTACGCTTCAAAGACGTTGAAGACTGATTCGGCTTCGGTTTCGTATTAGTTTTCTGTCCCGACACCTTTGCGCCAGTGGCGCTGGCAAAGGAACGAGTCATTCCTGATACTGTGAGAATGGATGTCTGGATTCTGGACTGAAATAAGGATCGACTGGACGACAACAAGCTAGTACTGCTGCACCGAGTGGCGCGTAAGGCAGGCACCGATGCCCTTAACATTTCACACCGAGGGACGAGGATATATGGAACGCTCGGCGCTTCAGCAAAAATGCGGCACGATCACCTGGTTTATTTGGAATATCGTGGGAACTCCCATGCCCAGGCAGGACTCCAGCCTCTATGACTTCGTAA